ATTTACTTCCCAAATGCGTTTAACAGCCAGGGCTGGACCAGGCTGAAGCCAGGAGCCAGGAGCTCCAGCCAGGGCTCCCATTGGGTGGCACAGACCCAAGCAACATCTGCTGCTTCCCAGTCACACGGGCTGGAAGCTGGATCAGAAGCACGGGAGGCAGAACATGAACCAGCACTCTGATACGGGATGCAGGCACTGTAAACAGAGGCTTAACCAGCTATGCCACACTGCCAGCCCCTACAGTAACATTTTCCATTTACTTCTGCAAACACACTCTTCCTGGTTATAAATACAAACACTTCTCAATACACCTGCTCCCAGCTACCCATTCTTTTCTGTTGTTTGAAAAACTAACCATGCAGCAAACTGCATCTCACCTTCAAGGGGCACATCCCTGTCCCTTCCAACAGAGGGGGCAGGGTGGGGCCCAGCTGCCTCAGACCTGGCATCCCAAGAGGATCATGGTGGAACAGAGGGTCATGGTACCGCCTCAGCAGCCACATGGTGGGCACGAGCCCCCCTTTCTGTGTTGGATCCACTCGGCTCCTCACAAGCACCACAGAAAACAGCGTGGCCTACCTTTAGGTCGATGCCGTGGGCTCTCTGGTTCGTTCCTTCTGCTGCTGCGCTCTGACCCGCCCTCTCGCTCCGATCTGCTGCTGTGCCTGCTTCGATCCCGCTCATCTACAAAAGTCACACTCCGAGGTTAAAATCGGAGTCCACCATCAGGGTGCCCAAATGCATCCTCCCCGCTCACTCACAGGTACAACCTGCAGTGGTCTTACGCCACCCGTGGCTTCCTGAAACTCCCATACTCCCATTCTCTCAAGGGGCCAAACTTAAGTTACTGGCTACAAAGTTCAAAATTTACAGTAAGTTTTTTCCTGCAAGAATTCACAAAAATAGTTTCACATCTGCAATGAATGGACTTCCGGCAGTTACGAGTCTAAGCTGTAAGAGTCACACAAGTGAGCCAGTGATGGATGTCACCTGCAGCTTTGTTGCCCAGCGGCAGCACTCCTGCCAACCCTGGCTTCTTATACATATCGCCCATTCCCACTGTCATCACAGTGTCCATAATAAAACAAGGACCACGACTCAAGCAGAGCGGCTGGCTACATTTTTTAGAAGAGCAACAGCTATTTTTTTCCCCTAAAAATTTACTTATTTTTATTAGAAAGTCAACTTTTACAGAAAAAAGGTGAGACAGAGTTCTTCCATTTGCTGGATCATTCCCCAAGTGGCCACAATGGCCAGAGCTGGACTAGTCTAAAGCCAGGAACCAGAACTTCTTCTGATATTCCCACAAGGGTGCAGGGGCCCAACGACTTGACATCCCCGCTCATGAGCAGGGAGCTGGATGAGAAGTTGAGCAGCCAGGACACAAACCAAACGATGGAGGATTCACCAATAGAGCCATCGCTCCTGTTCCAAGCAACAGTTCTTCTTAAACTGCCTGAACCCCAATCCTGACAGGCCACAACCAACCAGGCTGACATTATGCACTTACATCTTACAATGCCCAACTGGCAGATAGTATAGAAACCCTGGCCACAGGAAAAAGGCTGAAGTACAAATGGACAACAGCAACCCCAGGGGACAGCTCACCTCTGTCTCTCTTGCGGTCATAGTCTCGATCCCGCGATTTCTCCTTCTTCCGATCCTTTTCTTCTTTGGATGAGGCGTAGACCCCATGTTCCCGCCGGTCCCGCTCTCTCTGCCGGCTGCGTTCCCAAAACTCCTCACTCACACCGCCGGGGTGGGATGGCGTCTCTACCCGAGCAGAGCGGTAGTGTCTGAAACGGGAAGAGCTGGGTGGGTTTTCTGTCCTCTTTCCTGCCTCTGCACATTGACCATTTAGGGAGAGCAGGTGGTAAAGGCCCTCCCTAGGAAAAAAGCTTCTGGCTGTGCTGGACGGTCATCTGTGCTTTTCTGCTCTCTCTGCCAGATACTGCAGGCTTACACATCCCAACCCAGCCCTATCCGACCTCTATCATCTACGCTTTAGTTGCCTTTGAATTTCGCCCAGAAATCTCAGGCAAAGGCTGATGCCTACCTGCTCTCAGCCATAAACTTGTAAGATCAGAAAGCTGTCAGCGCCCAACAGGAGCAGGCAGCTGGCCTGGGCACTAAATGGGCAGCAGGAGCACCAACGGTGGACACTCGGGCTGCTCGAGTGCAGCTTCCATCTCTCCCCCTTACCTGTCCTTCCGGCTGCTCCGGCCAGCCTGCTCGCTGCCTTCCTCCTCGGCACCCTTCTGCTCATCCTTGCTCTCTTCCCAGTCCTTGTAAGAAGAGATCCGGGACTTCTTCTTGTCCTCGCCGTCATCCTTCTCCTCTCGCTCTTTTCGTTTCAGGGAGGCCAGCAGGTCCAGCCCCAGCCGTGAAGGGCGAGGGGCGGGCGCCTTGAAGACATGCTGCTCGCTGGCTGCGTTTTTGGTCTTGCAGATGAGGCCGCCCACCTGCGAGTCCAGGTCAGTGCCTTCCAAGCGATGGATTGAGGCATCCTCGCCGGCGTCCTCCATCTCGGGAAGGAAGACAGACTACTTGGTACCAGACAGAGATGGGAGAGGGGTCAGCCATCCCCAGGAACCACAGGAATGGGCACCCTGGGGTGGTTAACATACACCCCGCCCCCCGCCAAGCCCAGGACTGCCTTGGCCATCCAAGGTTGTCAAGGCCTGTGCATCGCATCCGAGGCTCCTCTGGTGCCCACACTAACACACCACATGCTCCCACATAGCCTTGCATACCCAGTCCGAGTGGACATCCACCCAGGCAGGATGGCCCTCTCTGAGGGACAGTCACAATGGCAACAGGACCTGTCACGTGTGCAGAGGGGAGATGCCACCAGGCCTGACGTCGGGGGTTAACCTGACTGTCAATTACTCTTAGGTTACCTCTGACTTCCCCTCTCACATATACTTGAGAACATTTTATGAGGGAGCCACATTACACTGCAGCAGATGAAGCTGCCACCTGTGACAGCATTCCCTTAGGTGCACCTGTTTGTGTCCTGGCTGTCTCACTTCGGATCCAGCTTCCGGCTGATGGCCCGGAAGCAGCAGCAGAGGATGGTCCAGGTGCCTGGGCCTCGCCCCCCACATGGGAGAGACCAGGACGGCTCCTGGCTTCAGCCCGGGACAGCAGGCTCCTGGCTTCAGCCCGGGCCAGCACTGGCCGTGGCAGCTGGGCAGTCAATCAGCAGAGGAGCCTGTCCCTCCCTCGCTTTCTGTAACTCTGACTTTCAAAATCACAATTGTAAGAAGTTGGCAGAGAAGGAACACGCCCATCTGCTGGCTCACTTTCTAATGCCCCGGAGCCATGCCCCAGGACTCAGTGCAGGCCCACACCACCAGCAGGAACGGAGCTGTCACCATTGCCTCTGAGGGTCCAGATGATCAGAACTCGGAGGTCAGGAGCTGGAGCCAGGGATTGAACCCAGCCAGGCACTGCAATGTCGTGAGACCTGTGCCAGCCAGCATCTTAACCAACAGACCAAATGCCTACCTTCTCCATAATTTCCGTATCTGTAAATGAAAACAATCTTTGCTTTATCTAACAGAGTTGTTATAAAAACGAAATAAAACAACGGGTCATGTGACCACAAAGAGTCACAGAAACATCACTACTATATTTCCTTGTAGTGCTCTGTTACTGTACACCGATTAGGTCCCTCACTACTTTTGGGATTTTTTTGTGTGAGTTTTCTTACCTATCTTTCCCTTTAGCCGACTGACGCCCCACAACACAGCAGGGATGCTGGGTGCGAGCCTGGGTGTCCTTAGAAAAACTCGCCTCAAAAGCAGTCAAAACTGGTCGAATAACAATCTACGGCACCAAAAGTCTTTATGAGAAACACTGGGTGAGAACATGGTTTTTCTGAAAATATCTCTGTGGCCCCAAGGCTTGGTGGCAAGCGACTTGTCACCAATTCCTTGCAACTCTTCCCAGCACTCGGTTCCTAGTTAGAAAGTGTCTGGATAAACTCCCATAATTTCGGCAGGTGGCGGATCAGCAGGCTGCTGATCCCTGTAGTAGGAACGAGGTGGCCACAATACGCTGTGCCCCAGGAGATCCCGGGAGGCCAGCCCACGCAGCCGGGAGAACCCTGTCCGTCCTGATCCCGCCTGACAAGCGCTCAAGTGCATAAGTGAACTTAATAAAGGAAAGCCGGTACCCGCCCAGCGTTTCTACACAAATCTGACAGGCGGGACTTGACCGGTCCCTGTTAGGGCAAGGCCACACGGGGCAACAGGACTCAGCCACTGAGCAACAATTCCCTGGGCGCCTCTGCGAGCCAACCGGGAAGGAGAGAGGGCAAACCCGACGAGAACCCCCGGGCACCGACCTGCATGCCGGAGCCCTGCCGGAGCCCCCGGCTCGCACCCGGGGGCCAGCCGAAGGGGAAGGGCCGGGGATCGCGGGCTGACCGCAGCGTCCCCAAAGGCAGGACAGCTGAGGGACCTCACGCACCAGACTTCGCCAACCCGGACCAAGGATGGAGACCAACCGCCGGGAGCCGCCACGACGGGCCAAGGGCCGGACGGAAAGGAAGAAGAGACACTCACCTCCTGGAGCCCCAAGGGCAGGGTCGGGCGCGCGGGCGGCGCTGAGACTACCTCAAAGAGCCAAAACCCGCAGCCTGAAAGCGGCCATCACTGTCCCAGCATACTCTGCGCAGCCCCCTCTAGCCATCCAAGATCACCGAGAGTAGCCTGGAAAAGGCCGGTTCCTGCATCCAGGTGTGGAACCGAACGCGGCCAGTGGCTTCCTCTACCAAGTTGAGCAGAGAGACTTCCGAGTCTCCTGGCGGCCAATCAGGCTCAGCCTAAGAGGCGAAATCCAGCCTCTAGCCTGGAAGCGCGGAAAGGAAGGCCAGTGAACCATGGTTGATAAGGGCGGAAGTGACGTACATCCCGGTCACGCTCATTGGGCCATTGACCCCGCAGGATGCGCGATCCTGCGTTCAATTTCTGCGCCCGTGCGCCTTGCATTTCCGCTTTCTTCCCACTCGGAGGGACAAGGGTTGCTAGGCAACACAGTTCGGCTGGAGGGTCGGGGTTCTTCGTTCTGGACAAAGTGGCCGCGCCGGCGCCCCTGGAGCAGAGGGGCACCCGCCCGAGTAAGTCGCGTCGTCCGGTGCGTTGGGGGCCGGGAGGAGCCCCGCCGCAGGCCGCGGGCAGAGTCCTGGGCACCGTACCCGCCTCTGGCTGCTGACCCCCGACTCCCGGCCGGCGGCTGACCCTCGAGTCCTGGGGTCCCCGCCACCCCCGGGGAAGAGCAGCATGGGCTCCGGCTCCCGGACCCTAGCGGCCCTGTGGGGGCAGTGAACCCATGGGTGGAAGGCGGCGCGCGGGTCCCCCGCTCCTTCTCTCTTAATCCTCCTCTTTCTCCCTTTAGGGAAAAAAAAAAAAGGTGGGGGGAGCACATTTTTTTAATATACGTGTAGGTATTGGGGGAAGTAGCAGTGAGCTCTCCCGTGTAAATGCGAATCTCCCGTGTGCCCACACGCAGGGAGACCCAGGGATGTTGATGTAAATGCCGGTTCTGGCAGCCGGGATTGTTGGTCAGGAGTATCCATGTATCCATCTGGTCGGCCGTCCTTGCAGCGGGTGTAGCATCAGCGTCCCCGTGGGAGCTGTGACCGCCCGCCCCGCGTCCACGCTCTCTCTGCGTGTTACTGTCCTGCTCAATCTTTGCCAATGTAGTGATTTTTTTTAAATATACATATATAAAATCTCAGTTTTGTCACTAATAAAAGCTTAACTTTTGCAGATGTATTTCCTGTCCGTTTGTACTTCTTTTGTGATTCTTCGTTGCTATTCTTTGCTACAGGCATTCTCTTTTCTTTTTACATGTATTTGTTTGGAAGGGTTACACAGACAGAAGGGGGTCGTGTCTTCCTGTGGTTCACTCCTCCGCGTGGCCACGTGGCCAAAGCTGGACCAGGCCAAAGCCAGGGCTCTGAGCTGCCTCTGAATCTCCCACATGGGACGGGAGCCCAAGCAGCTTGGGATCCGAACCTGTGCCAGCACGGATGCTGGCGCCACAGGCAGCAGCTTTGCCCACCCCGTCACAGCGCCAGCCCCCAGACATTTTCTTGAATGTGGTGGCACTGTCCCTGCCCTCCTCCCCGCAGTCGTGCAGGCGTGCCCCGTCTGACAGTGTTAACCCCCATTTACTTCTGCCGTGTATTCTTTACTGCCCTCATTAACAATTTGCTGTGTCTCTCACATCCAACAGCTTAGCTTCTATTTTTCAGTCTGACCTCTTACTACAGCAGTTGTGTTTCCTGGGTGAATCTGTACCCTCACTGCACGTGGCACTGGGCTGGCGTAGCCGGGGCAGGGGGACAGTCAGTAAGGCCCTGCTGGCAGCGGTGGCATGCAGAGCCCAGCTCCATCTGCTCCACTGCCGGTCCAGCTCACGTACCTGGGAAAGCTGTGGAAGATGTCACAGGTGCTTGGGTTCCTGTTGCCCTCAGGAATGATGGAGAGTACCAGGTTCCTGGCTTCGGGCGGCTGTGGCCACTTGGCACATGTGAACAGCACATGGGAGATTTCTCCCTGTCTTCCCTGCCCTGTTCCCCGTTTCTGTGTGGTACTCTGTCTCTGAAATAACCCAGTCTTTTTTTTTTTTAATACAACATGTGACCAAAAAATATATTAAGAATTTTCCATTTTTGTTGCCTAAGCAAACTTTGGAAGTGAATACCAAGTGTCAGGTGTCTCCATGGAATCTCTCATGCATGCCCTTGTTCCCAGAAATTAAGCCTCTTCCAGTGAGAAAATGGGCAGCATATTGTTTCAGAGGGAACACTGGACTAGAAATTGGGTGGCCCAGGTGCGAGTCCCTGGAAGAGGCAGTGAAGCACGTGTGTGGTGCGTATCAGCCCTGGCCCCTCCACGGCTGTTCTCGCTGCTCCCCTAGACTCTCCAGGACCGGAGGCTCCTGACCTGGGCAGCTTCCCCAACCCTGATTGCAGCTGCATCCAGCCGGTGGGAGCCGTAGGGGAGGTTGCAGGAAGGGAGGACCGCAGCTGTCAGCTGTACATGCCAACTGACCCGCAGAGCAGCCTGGCCCACATGCCAGCCAAACTGCAGAGCAGCTGGACCCCTGTGCAGCACACAGTTCTGGCACCGTCGGGCATCACAGATGTTGACCCTACGACACAGCTTTCCTTCTCCTGCCTTAATTAGTCTTCACTTTGCCAGTGTTGGGAGCATTCTCTCCTGTTGGGACACTAACACACTCCACTGCCTTTTGGGCAAAAAAAAAAAAAAGGAACAAAATCTAGGAACACATTTGTATCCCCTGGTAAGTATATGGCAAAGCTTGAAAGGCACTTGAGAACGTAAAGAAAGTAGTCACGTGACAGGAGTGGGAAGAAGGCCTGGGGTCTGGCCCCAGTTGGGGTTCTAAGGAGAAAGAGCCTTTCCCCAGCACGCCTTCCTGGGTCGCTTGGCACATTTGTGGAGTTTTAAACTGGGACTCGTGTACCAAGTCTACACTGTCTGTTTCAGGATTGACAGTGAGGAGCAACACCGGGATTGTTTCAAGATGAGCTTCCTGCTGCCCAAGCTGTCTAGCAAAAAAGAAGTGGACCAGGCGATAAAAAGCACTGCCGAGAAGGTGTTGGTTCTCAGATTTGGGAGAGACGACGATCCCGGCTGCCTGCAGCTGGATGACACTGTGAGTGTTCCCAGGAAGAGGTGTTTGCTAAAGGGTGTGTATTTTCACTTGCACCTCTGCAAAATGCATGGAAAACAGCAGGCAGGGTGGGGATCTCGCTGTTCACTTCCCCAGCAGCTGGCCACGGGGCTGCGCTGAGGGACCCTGCATCTGGGCCTACGCTGCCTCGGCTGCGCTTGCTGGCTAGACAACGGGACAGCAGGAGTGCAGAGCAGATGTCTGTGAACATGGCCGTTTTTGATGCCGACAACAGTAAAGGGAAGCAAATGCCCTGGAAGCCGAGGAACTTCCCCCAGGCACAGAGCCACTAGGTTGCATGGCTGGGACTTGAACTGTTTGCTCCAACTGTGGATTCCCTTCTCCGGTTCGCTGCCCTCAGTCTGTACCTGCTCATCATCTCTGGTCTTGTAGTGCATCTTCCCACTCTGACGAGCGAGCTGAGAAAGTGTGGGGCAGAGCAGATGTTAGTTCTCGCTCAGCCCAGGGAGAGTACCGTGTACCGTTTCTGTGGCTGCCATCTCCTCTCTGGGAATCAAGTTCAAGTGTGGTTAAAACTCAGAGAGGGGTGTGTAACCTGGAGTAGAAAGGACCAGAAGGTTCCCAGCTATAGGAACGTGGACGTCTCAGAACAGCGAGAGTAGGTGCTGGAGTCAGGCTGAGCATGCGCAGATTCAGGCTGAGCATGCGCAGATCCAGCCCTCCTGCTTGGCAGCCACATGGCCTGGAACAAATCCACTCAGCTCCCTGGGCCTCCACTTCCATTCATAGCGTGGGGCTACGAGGGACAGTTACAGTGATGCTGCAAGGATTAAATGAGTTAACAATGTTGATCACTTACGACACTTTTGTATAGGAAGTAGCTTGTAAGTGTTGGCTGTTACTGTAATTGTCTGGGAAGATTGAGATAAAAGAGTTTGGAGAGATTAAAGTGTCTGCATGACACATTTCAAAATCGTTTAAAATGAACAGGTCTGCTTATGAAAAAGTCAGAGGTGGGAGAAATTAAATTTACCCGTGACCCTCTTAAATGCCAACCATGATTCAGGCTCCAGTATTAAGGTTCTGTATGTCTAATGTAGAATCCACACAGATTCTAGAATCTTTTTTTTTTTTTTTTAAGATTTTTATTGGGAAGTCAGATACACACAGAGGAGGAGAGACAGAGGAAGATCTCCCATCCAATGATTCACTCCCCAAGCAGACTCAGGGGCCAGCGCTCAGCCGATCCGGAGCCAGCAGCCCAGAGCTTCTTCCTGGTCTCCCGCGGAGGTTCAGGGTCCCACGGCCTTGGGTCATCCTTGAGTGCTTTCCCAGGCCACAAGCAGGGAGCTGGATGGGAAATGGGGCCGCTGAAACTAAAACTGGTGCCCATATGGGATCCTGGTGCTTGCAAGACAAGGACGTTAGCAACTAGGCTACCATGCCGGGCTCAGGTTCTAGATTCTTTTTTTTTTTTTTCTCATGGATTTTGGTGTTTTTGTATTTTAATTTCTTAAAAACAGTTTTTTCCTCATATTAAATTTTTCATTGAGTCAGAAGTCATGCAGTAGCATCATTGTCTTCAAGAATATGTCTTCAGTGACACATTAGTCATTCAGTAACATGGCATTTAACTTCATGTTGTTATAAATTTCTGTTTATCTTCCTGTTGTTGACTTTGTTTTGTGACTTTTTCATTTAAAGGGATGTATAGTAACTGTGTAATGGAGATTACCATATACAACGTGAGGACACAGTGCAATATGCATCTCCACCTCCAGATCAAAGATGAGCTGCCAATGAAAATGTGAAATATATCTTGGCAGTAGGATGCCAGACTGCCTTCCGTTGCGCATGCCTGTGAAGATCTGAGTGTTTTGTAATGAAAGTTTCAAGCAGTATTAGGGAAATATACAGGGGTCTTGATTCAAGAAAAGCACTGATGCTTTCTAAGAACGTAAGAAAGGTTGTTACATGCAGCTGATTCCCACAGCCAAGTCCTCTTTGCACAATTAGTTTACCACAAGCCAAAATCCCAGTTCAGCAAGGTGCTTGGTAGGTCCCTTATTCCAGCAGGGTAGGAACGGGAGAGGACTGGAAGGGACACATCTCCTTCCAGGAGTGACAGGGTCGGGGCTGCCAGGGCAGGGGAAGGGACAAGATGGAGCAGGACAGGGAACAGGGTTCTAGATTCTAAACTCAGGACTTTCTCAAACAAAATATTCTTGCAGTAAAAACTTACCCTCAAAAACAGTGTTTACCTCTCATATGCTACCCGGCATTTCTCTTGTCATTTGCAGCTTGCTAAGACTTCTTCTGACTTGAGTAAAATGGCTGCGATCTACCTGGTGGATGTGGACAAAACTCCAGTCTATACGCAGTATTTTGACATCAGCTATATTCCATCCACAGTATTTTTCTTCAATGGACAGCATATGAAAGTGGATTACGGGTAAGTTAGACTGGCTGAAAGTCGTGGCCATCTGCAGAGTGGCTTTGTGCCTGGTTGCGTGTGACACTGGCTCTGTGAGCCGCCTCCTCGTGTTCTCGTGTCTGATATAGTCCCTAATTTTTAATGTAAATTTTTGGTACAGAATAAGAGTGCTTCAGGTACAACTGACTATTTTAAATTTTCAGCTTAAGTGGGAAAGCGTAATACCATTTTTCTCAAAGTCTAGGAAACATGGAACAACTTTGTTAGCTAAACATAGAATTTTTTTAAAAGGTTCCCAAGAACTTCATTGACCTTTTGGGACTGGAAGGTGACTCTGGTAGAAGTAACATTCCTTCCAGTGAATTCAGCGGACTGCTTTCCTGCCTCTGCCACTCCAGGAGTTCAGAAGTCAGCCTCCCATTAGCATCCCGACCCAGAACATTCACATGGAATGTGTCCTTCCTGCTCATTCCTTCATAGTGGGATGGAGGTGTCCCCTCATCTCCATCCGTGCACCTGCTGTGCTGACGTGTGGATAGTGTAGTCTCTGTTTTCAATCTGTCAGGTCTCGTGGACCACAGCTGATAGAATAATTTGGCACATCCTTTTTTTTTCTTTTTTTAAATTGCAAAGTCAGATATACAAAGAGGACAAGAGACACAGAGAAAGAGCTTCCATCTGATTATTCACTCCCCAAGTGGCCACAGTGGCCAGAAATGAGCCGATCCAAAGCCAGGAGCCAGGAACTTCTTCCCGACTTCCCAGATGGGTGCAGGGTCTGAAGGCTTTAAGCCATCCTCCACTGCCTTCTCAGGTCACAAGCAGGGAGCTGGATGGGAAGCAGGGCTGCCAGGATTAGAACCATTGCCCGTATGGGATCCTGGCATGTGCAAGGTGAGGACTTTAGCTGCTAAGCTACCTGGACAGGCCCTGGCACATCCTTTTTAAAAGACAGTTTAAAATACTATGTATCAAATACCTAACAAGTGCTTTGAGTATGAACTCAGTAATTGCTTTTCAGGGAATTTCATGTGATGCTGTAAATGTGATTTAATGAGTTTAAAAGAAGCATGTATTGATTGATGAAAAAAGCACTGTACTGCTTTGTGTGATTCTCGTTGTGAAAAGCAGGTTTGGAAGGGTGTATGCTAAAAGGCGGTCTCTCGAGCCTCACTGGTTACCTTTGTTTGGTTTTTTTTTTTCTGAAAATGTTTCATGACAAAGGTACATGTTTAGAGGCCAGTGTTGTGTCCTGGCCAGCATCCCGTAGAAGCAGTGTTTTGTGTCCTGGCTGCTCCACGTCTGATCCAGCTCTCTGCCTGCGTGGCTGGGAGGGCAGCAGAGGATGGCCCAGGTGCTTGGACGCCTGCATCTACATGGGAGATAAGGAAGAAGTTTCTCGCTCCTGGCTTCAGCCTAGCCTAGGCCAGGCCATTACAACCATCTGGGGAGTGAACCAGCAAATTGAAACTTATTAAATATAACTCTAACTTTGAATAAACAAATGATGTTAAAAAAACAAAAAACTTTTGAAACAGCATTTAGTTCCGTGACTCAGAAATACAGGTGACTTTAGAGACCATGACTATCCGTGAGCTTTATACAGCGCCGCTAAACAGCAAGTGGGCAAGTTACACCCAATCCAGCACTCGGGGAATTCTGCTTGATAATGGTTTAAAATGTTGTTCAAATAGATTTTTATGCAGAATCCTTTTTACGTGACAGGGTTTCTGTGCCAGTGGCTACAGCACTGGGGTTACATACAAAGTGGGGAAAATAGTATCAGGCTTAAGGTCTGAAGTGCGCTTGGGGTAAGCCACCACTCGCAGCGCCAGCATCCCGCGTTGGAACACTGCTTGAGTCCCAGCTGCTCTGCTTCTGACGCAGCTGCCTGCTGACGCCCTGAAAAGGCACCAGGTGATGATGCCCCACCACCCGCGTGGGAGACGCGCGTGGGAGACCCACCACACCTCGCTGTTGTGGCCATTTAGGGAGTCTGCTCACCAAGAGGAAACTAACCAAGCTACTGTTGATGTGGTTTCTCCTAAAAATCTTGAGCAAATGCTTACTGAAGGTTCTGAGAGCAGTTGTTTCTCTCCTGTGCTGCCTAGATCCCCAGACCACACTAAGTTTGTGGGAAGCTTCAGAACGAAGCAGGACTTCATAGACTTGATTGAAGTCATCTATCGAGGAGCCATGAGGGGAAAACTGATTGTCCAAAGCCCTATTGATCCCAAGACTATTCCCAAGTATGACCTTCTCTATCAAGACATTTAGCTTGACAGCGCTGCTGTCAGCACTGAAGAGAAAAGCACCTCCCGCAGCGGCGCCTGGACCCAGCCGTGCTGTGTTCCTGGAGTCTTTCGGAACTGTGGTCAGTGCCCATGAGGAAGAAGAGCACAGCGGTGCCATGTTGACCTGGAGCCCCTAATATCTACCGTTGCAAGCTCAGTCAGGTAACGGCGTCAGCTCTCCAGGGCAGCTTTTTAGACTTCTCTATAGATGCTTCTCTTTAGCACTTGAGCTGAGACAGAAATACTGCTAAACATTGGATGGTACTGTGGGTGCAGCCACGTTTATTTGACCACAATTACGATGAAATATCATTTCCTAGAGGAGCAGGAATACTTACTGTCTTAGCTGTGTGCCTGTTTAAATGCAGCCAGTCCCCCACCCTTGCCGATGCTTCCCTCGTCCGGTAAGCACTCCTTTCTCCAGGCCTGGTCACCAGTTTATCTTGGAATAAATAAGCTTGTATGATAGCCAGCGAATTTGTTTTATTTTGGACCCCTTCTGACACAAACTGTAAAAATTCTGATTGGTTCATTTTGAAACTTTTGTGTTACATTGTGAAGGAATGAGAATTTGAGCGTTTACCATGTAGTGCTAATTGTGGGCTACTAGAGGATTAACTGGGAAGGATGGGAATAGACTCCAGACGTCAGGGTCACGGCTCCCTGAGGCAGAGTGGCGCTTTAGCGTCTCCTGCACACATACAAGGGCCCAAGGACGTGGGACATCCTCCACTGCTTCCACAAGCACATTAGCAGGAAGCTGGATCAGAAGTGGAGCAGCCAGGACATGAACCTGCACCCTTTTTGGTTGCTGGCACTGCAGGTGAAGGCTTAATGTGCACTGCAGTGCTGGCATAACATCAGTGGCATTTTATACTTAAAAAAAAAAAAAAGGTCATTACTTTTGAAGGTATACCACAGGTGGTCATTACTTTTGAAGGTATACCACAGGTCTTGCAAAAAAGCTCATGGCAAAAGTGTGTTAAGAGAAACCATGAGTTTCAAAGAAATTGCACCAAAATTCATCTTTCTAGCATTTTTCCACAAAATTCTTGTAAGTATGAGTATTAACGAAGTCTCATTGCAAGGAGTTGAGTTAGAAGAGCTTTCTAGGGCCCAACATGGTAGCCTGGTGGTTAAATCCTCACCTTGCATGCACTGACATCCCATATGGGTGCCAGTTCATGTCCCAGCTGCTCCACTTCCCATCCAGCTCCCTGTTTGTGGCCTGGGAAAGCAGCAGAGGAAGGCCCAAAGCCTGCACCCACTAGGGAGGCCCAGAAGAAGCTCCTGGCTCAAAAGGGCTAAGCTCCAGCTTGCTGTGGCCACTTGGGGGTGAACTGGTAGATGGAAGATCTTTATTTCCCCTCTCTCTGTAAATCTGCCTTTCCCCTTTCCAATAAAAATAACGTTTTCAGAAGAAGAGCTTTCCATGTATAGGGGCTCTGAAACTTTTGGGGACCCTCTTCACAGCAAGACCTTTATCTTGGTGGGGTGGGAGGCATGTCGGTGGCCTGCTCTACGTGGGTGGGATTCCTGCCTGTCAGAAAAGCAGCTGCTCTGGAGGAGAAGACCTGAAACCCTTCACAGAGTTCCAGAATGTTACTGCTGGCGGAGATGTTAGGTTCTGGTACAAGCCCCTCCTGTGGGAGATCAGAAAAGTCACCCAGGAAGCTCACAGCACCCAGCACAGACAGCGGCCACACTTAGGATTTGGACCAAGTCCAGAGATGCTGCCTTTACACCATCTCACTTTGTTTTCTGGAAAATGAACAATAGCACTGTCCCACTTTGGGCTAGCTTGTTCCTTACCAGGCCTATGCCCTTCTTCTAATCCACTTCAGAAAGATAACTGTTTGGGCAGATACTTGACCTAGCAGCCAAGCCTCCAGTTGGAATGGCCATACTCCACTCTGGAATAGCTGGTTCAATAAGCAGCTCCCACTTCCGACTCCAGCTTCCAGCAGTAATGGCATCAAGGATTTCCTGACCAGCTGCCCCCAAAATCACTGAGGCAATGAGGCGGTAGTGGTATTTTCTCACCACCAGAGACAGAGTGGTCAAGCCTGTCTGTTTATTGTTAGTGAAATATAAACTTACATAGGCTAAGAAAGGGGAGGGTGGAAGGGCATCTTCCAGCAGTCCTCCCATCCAGCAGTGACACTATAAATGGCTAAAAAGGCATGTCTATCTCTATGGACCCTCCTGTTAAGTCACAGGTCACATACAGCAAGCATAGTTGGCAGATATGCTGCAGGTCAAGTTCACCATGTGTGGCTGTGGGTCAGCTGAAGGTCACACACACCATGTCTGGCTGGCAGGCAACGTAGGCCACGCCGACTTCTCAGAGTTGCTTATCAAGGAAGTCCCAGCACAGCTCATCCACGGGCAGAGGAGACTGGGGTGCAACCCCACCGCTCTCGGTATATGACCAATGATCAGGCCAGGTTGAGGTCTCAGTGAATCAAGACCATTGTCAGGGGTTCCCTCAGGGACATGGCATGCCGTGTGCTTGTGAGCTCCCATGTGGGCCAAGCAGGCAGAGATCCAGGTGCAATCTCTCTCAATGGCTCATGGATATGACTTTCAGCCATCCATACGGAAAACCTAAATTGAGTTCCTAGGCCCCAGCTTTGACCAGGCCCAGCCCCTCGTCATGTGGGAAGTGAACCAACAGTGAAAGCCACTTCTCCTGACTCTCTTCTCCCTGTTTCCCACCATCCCTCGATTTTTTTTAAGCCAGCAAGTAAAAATGGCTATGGCTCAAGAATTGTTATTCAGACAGCTTCACTACTAATGTAGGCTTGAACAATCCCATAACTTCTTGGAGCCTCCATTTCCATGTGTGTAAAACATGATAAACAGTCACGCCTCTGGGCATTGGCATTCAGCAACCACACAGTGAGTGTGCTCCCCAAGTAAGAGCAGGGTGTTTCACCTTGGGTGCTTTTGATTGATTGTTTCCTGCCATATGCCCAGTAATCGCTATGCCACTTGGCTGCCCAATACCATAAACGAGACAACAACAGAAATAGGTCCAGTGCTAAAAACAGAAACAAATCAAAAATTGTGTAAAAGCTATTTATTGATTGACCCAGCCATGCAGGGCTGGCAGCCAGCAGCTTCAGCCCCTGGTCCTGTCTGCTCCTACCCACCACTCCCTCTCCAGGATAAAATCCTGCTCTCAGCCAAGGGCCTCCAGGCTGCCTTGCATTAGTTGTCAGCCATGGTTCTGTGAATCCAGTCCAGAATGGTGGACACCTTCACATACACACCGAACTCAGCAACAGCGCAGCTCTTATCGAAGCTCAGGATCCCCGCAGCGTACCAGGTGTCGTCTTCCAGGTCGCGAATGGCAAAGGCACTGCCAGCATCACCATAGCAGGTGTCTTCCTGGTACTTGGACATGCCAGCACAGAAGGTGTGCTCATTGAGGATGGGCTGCACCCCTACAGGGCTCTTTGGACTCTTCTCCTCAGGCACTGTGCTGTTTTCATAGTGCTGGACACATTTGTCCTGGTCAGCCACAGGCAGCATGACATACTTCAGACGGTCAGTGAATCTGAAGTTGACGTTGCGCCCCCAGCCAGACACGTACCCCACACGCCCCACTTCTGCATAATCCTTTGAAGGTAGGCAAATGGGCATCACTCTTGCACTAATGGGTACCTTGTGTTTGAGTTTAATGAGCCCGATGTCTACCGTGGAGTAGTTAGGATGGAGAACCACCTTCTCAATTTCCACCTGTTGCCTCCTGCCCAAGTACAGGGTTAGAGTAGGGGCGATGTCTTCAGCAGTTGCACTCTCGGTGTGATTTAGGAAAAGATTTTTAGCTGTGGTCAGCAACCACTGTTCGCTGATGAGTGTGGCTCCTGTGATGAGGTCGTGGCGGGAGACCATCTTAGCCTGCCAGGGGAAGCTGCCTTTGGCATCCAGATATCCACCAATGATCCGCTGTACCTGATCCACAGGGTTCTTGGGCTTTCCACAGACTGTCAAGGAGAGCAGGCAACATGTGAGCAGAAATGGGGCAGTTTCCCATTGCAGGAAAGGTGGGCGCACACACACTGGCTGTGGCTGCTGTCTGAATAATCATTGCCTGATTTTTCAGAACATGATACACTCAAAGGCTTCTCCCATACTGTTTGCTCACCTCATGTCCAATATTTGCTGACTTGAATTTATGGGTTTTTGTTTTCATTGTTTACATTCGCAAAGCAGGATTCTGCTTCCTGCTTCTCTAACTCACGAATGGCCTATGTAACACTGAGATTTTTTTAACTCTGTCAAAGGAACTGTGTGTACTTGTACACTGAAATGATTTATCACGACAAAGCAATTTCCACAACTCCTGAAACCTCATGGGCAAGACTAGGATTTGTGATAATCCATTATCTCTAGATAAGGAGGGATCATAACAGCACTGGCATATGGATGTTACAGTTAGTACAAGACAGTTGGCTGTTCCACACCAGTAAGAGCAGAAGATGAGGGGGCTGGCAGACTAATCCTACTCCTGCAAGCACTGGCATCCTATAAGGGTGCCAGTTTGAGTCCCAGCTGCTGCACTTCCAATCCAGCTCCCTGTTAATGTGCCTGGAATAGTAGTGGAGGATAACCCAAAGCTTTGGGACCCAGCACCCACTTGGCAGACCTGGAAGAAGCTCCTGGCTCCTGGTTTCGGATCAGCTCACATCTGACCGTTGCGGCCATTTGGGGTGTGACTCAGAGGGTGGAAGATCTTTCTGTCTATCTCTCCTCTGTAAATCTGCCTTTCCAATAGAAATTAATTTAGAAAAGAAAACAGGATGATATTCGAAATGCTCTTCTTTCAAGACAGAAAAGGAGAGAGCAGAGCAGTAGTTCTTGTGAGCCGCCGAAGCTGAAAGTGCAGCCGGTCTCCAGCCTACTCCACATGTCCAGGGTTAAGGACTGCTATTCTTTGGTCTTGGCTCAGAGCTCCCTGGGCAGGCAGCCTGAACAAACATCACCTCCCTAATCTGGAAACACTCCATGCAGTGGATTCAGCCATTGCACTTCAGGCCCAGCTAAACGAAGGCCCTCAGCGAGCTGTAACTGGGAGCAGTGAGCACTGCTGAGGACTAGCCGGACCCCACCATGACTTTCTCTGGGTTCTCGGGCACTCAAGGGAAGCCCCGCAGAGAGGACTTGCCTTGGGGGGCATTTCAACTAGAACACCCACCTGCTTCACATTCAGGAAGCTGCTCCCCAACGACGCTGTTCACCCACTGCTTCTCATGGTTCAAGGTGTACACTCCTGAAGTGCAAGGAAAGAAACAAAAGAGAAGTCAAGTCCCGGCCTGGTGTGCAGTGCACGTGAGAATGTATTTTAAGAGAAGAACTAAAGATTAAAGAGGAAGGGAGAAGAAGGAGGAAGGGGAGTGCTGGGGGCATCACTAAAGCTCAGCAAGATGGATGGACCATGGTCACGGTGGCTGTGGGAAAGCAGGGCAGGTGAGGTTAGAGTTCAAATCCCCACTCTGCTCCTCTCAGGTTAACAAATCCTCCTCAGCGGCAGAATGAGTGAGAGCCCAGTGAGTCTGAGATGGTTACAAAGTGCTGGGAATAGTGGCAGGAATGGAACAGTCTACCATCACCACCTGTCCTCTTACTATACCTCGTTTTTTAGAGGCAGCTCTTCCTCCAAGACAGGAAGACTACCTTGCATTGCCTCCCCTTAACGAAAGAGAGAACTTGAGGGCCCATTCCATGATGATAGAACCCTTGTTAGGATCTAAATCTCCTGGCTGCAAGGAGGAGAGCAAGAGAGCTTCCTGGCCAATCACCCCAGCCCCATCCATTTTGGCAATGCCAGGCGGGGACATGGGTGGGGCACAGAGACACCTGCTTGGGTCTTACCGTCTCCTGCAGTGCGCAGCCTGTAGTTTTCATTACACCGATAGCGAACCAAGTGTTCCACATAGCCATTTGCAATCCCCGGGGGCTTTGGACAGATGTCATCTACAAAGAAACAGAAGAAGCTGCTCAGACATGACTTACAGAGCCCGAGAGAGAGGAGTCCTCTACTCGGGAGTCAAGGGAAGGACTCCTCATCACAGGCAACATCTGGCGTTCCTTATGGTGCCAGAAGCCCAGCTGTTACAATGGGAAGAGGGAACAAATGGGGTCTTCCCACAAAGTACAAATTAGGCTGTGTGAAAGTGGGGTGCAGTGGTGCTGGGAACACCACGCGCTGTCCCCAGGACCAAAGGCCTACCTGCCGTATCTGTGACCTCATTGCCAACATTCGCTGCCAAGAGCTGTCCCCACAGCAGGATGGTGATGGCAGTTCCCAAAGCTCTGCAGGGGAGACAGGGCCGAGTGTGAGGCTGACCTCCCTGCTTCACAGCACGCACACACACACCACACGCCCCACCACACACATAGAGACAGTGCTCCATCCCACACTGCCCATACCACACACACACACACACACACACCCCGCATCCCTACCATTTAGTACCCAGAAAAAAACAGGCGTGGATATGCCAGGATCAAAAAGTTGCCCCACCCGTCCACTTAGACTTCAGCAGCTTCTGAGCACACACAGCTTGCAGCAGGCTGTGTGCTGCTAGGAATTCCGGATTAGCTGCAGAGAGGGACCGGCAGGGTAGGCAGCCTCTGCCTCTGGCTATCAGTGGTTACCTACATTTGGAGAACAACAGGATAGGAGCTCCCCAGCAAAGAGAACTTCTTCAGCACTGGCAATGCCCCAGGCTGCATGGGCACATGGTTGATAAAATGCAGGCAACTTGGGCGTCGATGCCCAGGTCACACTGCCCAGCGAACCATCTCACCAACAGGAGATGATTATTCAAGGATTTTGAGGTTATGTAAGCTCCTACTCATGCTACTCTAACAGTTGTAAAAAGTCTGTTCATTTTAATAAAATTCCCAGTGCCCTAATTGTGTCAAACATCACTATTGATCTTTCTTATTATGCATTTTTAAAAAAGAAGAAAATACTAATAAGTAAATTCAAGATTCCAAGAAACCTGCCGTTGGAGCAGCTGGCACTCCTTCCGAAAATGAGAAGTTTGTGATCTCCCAAGAAAAACATGTTCAAAAGCACCGTCTTTTATGGATGCAAGGAAAGGCAAAAACCTGACACACGAGCCCTTTAATTCACTATGAAGTCGCCCGTTTGCCCTGTCTCATTGTCAGAGTTTTGCTGCTCTCCCGTAGGCTGCTTCTATACCAAAGAATACAAAGAAGAATGACATAAAGAACAAGGGAAGAGGGTTCCGACTGGGCTCACCTCATCCTGGCTTGGCTTGGCTGGCGGCTGGACGGGCGGTGCTGAGGAGGCAGCCGCTGAGCCTTTTATGCTGCCTGCGCTCGCCCCGCCCCTCCTTCATTGGTAATTCCTGTGTGGATGCAACTTTGGCTTTACTAAGGTCATCAGGAAGTTCCAGTAACAAAACCACAAACAACACCCCTGCTAGGGGCTGAACTCTTGCTTCATCCTGGCTCTGCCCGGGCATTCTGTAACAAACCCAGAAGAACTCTGGCAGCTTCACCAGCCTATGCACTTTTGCCAGTGTGTTTCCCAGAATCCCTCAGCTGGGAAAGACCAGGGGCAGGCGGGAAGGGTGCTGTCGACCTGTGGCTCTGCTCCGGCAAGCTTTCAGCACTGAAAATCTTCTCCCCGAGTTTTCTCAAGCCACTTGTCCACACTCACAGGGCTATAACAAAAGCACTTCCTCCTCAGGGTCATGCTCCCCTTCCTGTGTGGACATCTCCCTGTTGCTTCAAAGCTCTCCAACCTGAAATCAGAAAATGGGTTTACTGTGTCCTCTCTGATTGCTGTCTGCAAGAAATGGGAGTGGGCACAGCAACATGTAGATGGACACAAGCCATCCTCCGTCACAATGCTTCTCACACTTTAATGGTCCAGTTATTAGTCCAAGTGCGCACATGAGAAAAATCAATATATTTTAATCAGACATCTCCATTTCTGTAGCCCAAATGCTGTTCAATTAGGTTAAAAGCAACTCCATAAAATATTGCTCTATTAATTTTTTTTAAGAGACTCTATGATGGACTACGTCAATCAGTGGATTCTTCAAAGACCTCATAGTGCTTGGAGTGGCAAGATTGGCAGTGATTCATAATTGTTGAAATATCAAAACCACTTGAGCAAGAACCTGAGAGCATACCCTACATCCGAGACCTGGGGAGGATGGGAAGTTGGGTGGGCCTTCTCCCTTAATATCCCCCTTTAAACATGAAGGAAACAATATGGAAAAAATAATAGTCTTACCCGCTTTCCTGTAGCCCTTGAACCTTTTTACCCTAATTAACTATGTAAAGATTGTCAAAAATAATAAAAAAAAAAAAAAAGATTTTTTTTTTCTTGGACCCGGCATGATAGCGTAATGGTTAAGGTCCTCGCCTTGAACGTGCCGTGATCCCATAAGGGTGCTGGTTCTAATCCTAGCAGCTCCGTTTCCCATCCAGCTTGTGGCCTGGGAAAGCAGTGAAGGACAGCCCAAAGCTTTGGGACTCTGCACCCACGTGGGAGACCTGGAAGTTCCTGGCTTTTGACTTCAGATCATCATAGCACCGGCTGTTGTGCTCACTTAGGGAGTGAATCATCGGACGGAGGATCTTTATCTCTCTCTCCTCCTCTCTGTATATCTGACTTTCTAATAAAAAATAAATAAATCTTAAAAAAAAAAAACTAAGCAAAGGATTTGAATAGACATTTGTCCAAAGCAGTTGAAATCAGAGACTCAGAGAGAGTCTTGATAGGCCAAAAATCTTTGCAGCATTTTTACTGTTGTCAAAATGTGGAAACAACCCAGGTGTCCACACATAGATGAAGAAATAAACAAAATGTGGTGCATACTTAGAATAGAAATTATTCATCTGCTTAAAAAATGGCATTGATGCATGCTGCAACATGAATAAACCTTGAGAACATCGGCAGTGAAAGAAGACAAAGACTAATATTTACAGAATTCCATGAATTTGAAATATACAGCGTAAGCGAACTCAGAATTGCAAAGAAGGCTAGAAGCTTCCAGAAGCAGGGGGAAAACAGTAGGGCTTTATTGCATAACATGGACAGAGTTTCTGTTTGGGGTGATGAAAATGTTTTTGAAACAGCAGTAACAGTTACACAACACTGCTAGTGTAATTGATTTTGTTTAGTTGTTAAAAAAAGTAGTTAAAAATCATAAATTAACATTTTATCCACAAAATTTTCAGGAAATGTTATTTTAGAGGGTGTTCCTTTTTATGTCTATATATGTGTGTGTGTGTGTGTGTGTATATATACATTTTTTTAAACTGTAGAACAGTAAACTTTTTTGGAGGCAAAATTATCAGGTATCTCATATTTACTGAGTCCCTTGTCCCAAGAGACCAGATATATGTCTGTCTGTGGATGTCACATTTCTCCAAAAGTATTTCCGTTATAAAGTGGCACATAACTGTTTATCAAAGTTTCTATTCCTCCGTGTTATTTACCTACACTTTATGAATTTAGCCATTCTGGTGTGGTTTCAGTAAAATATAATGATAGCTTTCCTTTGCATTTCCCCATTATCAAATTAAGTAGGATACTTTGTGTGTTCTTTTTTGATCCTATAAAATATTCTTTATATTCTTATTGGTTACCCTTTTTTTAAAAAAAAGATTTCTCTTGGAAAGGCAGGTTTTTACAGTGAGATGAGAAACAAAGGAGAGCGATCTTCCATCCTTTGGTTCGTTCCCAGTTGGCTATCATAGCCAGAGCTGGGCTGATCCAAAGTGGGTGCAGGGTCCCGAGGCCTTGGTCTACCCTGCGCTACTTTCCCAGACCGCAAGCAGAGAGCTGGGTGGGAAGTGGAGCAGCCAGGACACCTAAGGGAGGCTGGCAGTTGCAGGTAGAGGCTTAGCTTACTGCCATTATGCCAGCACCCTTATTGGTTACTTTTATGAAATGTACTTTTACTGCAAAATTGCAGCAATTTTTTGTTTTGTTTTGTGTTTTTTTTTTTAAGATTTATTTATTTATTGGAAAGTCAGATATACAGAGAGGAGGAGAGACAGTAAGAAAGATCATCCGTCCAATGATTCACTCCCCAGGTGAGAGCAATGGCCGGTGCTATGCCAATCTGAAGCCAGGAGCCAGGAACCTCTTCCAGGTCTCCCACACGGGTGCAGGGTCCCAAAGCTTTGGGCCGTCCTCGACTGCCTTCCCAGGCCACAAGCAGGGAGCTGAATGGAAAGTGGAGCTGCCGGGACTAGAACCGGCGCCCATATGGGATCCCGGGGCGTTCAAGGAGAAGACTTTAGCCGCTAGACCACGCCACCGGGCCCTTGTTTTGTGTTTTAGAGATAACCTAGATGCTGGTCTTTTGTTTATTTTTTGTTTGTTTGTTTTATTTTGTTGTTGTGTACATTTATTGTAAGCAATTCCCAATCTAGTGCTTGTCTTTTTACTCTCTTTAAAAAAAAAATTTTTTTAATTCATTCATTCATTCAAAAGAGAGGCAGAGACATCCTGCACCTGCTGGTTTATTCCCCAGGTGGCTGCACTGGCTGGGGCTGGGCCAGGCCAAAGCCAGGAGTCACGAGCTGCTTTTAGGACTCCCACATGAATGCAGGGGCCCAGGCGCTTGGGCCGTCTTGTGTTTCTCTTAGGCCATTAGCAGGAAGCTGGATCATAAGTGGAGCACCTATAATGTGAAACACTACATCACTATACCAGCCCTTAGGTAGAAGATCTGATAGATGTAATGTCCAACCTGTGTATACAAATGCTAATTTAAGATGAGCAATGTGTGTTTGTTAAGCCCTGTGTCATACACATTATATGGATTAGATTGCTTACATCTCATAAAGACCAGGTTATGATACTTCCCTGGCAGGGGAGATACCATGCTCATGAAGGTGGGTCTCCCAGGGCAAGGCTCACCCATTACACTCGAGGTGTGCACTCCCTGCGATTTCCCCAAATGCGGGAAACTCAGCTGCATAATTTGTGGTAGTGGGAGATTGCATTTGCGCTCTCTCCTGTAAAAACATCACACTTTTCTTTCAATAAAGTTCTTGCATTCAAAAAAAAAAACAGATTATGGGGTGGGTTTTTTTTTTGCATATTTGCTTGTTTCAATGAAACTGTCAAATTTATTGACATGAAGCTGTTCCCAGCACGACTTGTTCTCCCTGTCAATAGGCTTGATAGTACTGTCCATCCTTCCTTCCTATCACAAATAATCTGTGTGACTTTCTTTTTTATCTTGAACAATCTTCTCAAAGGGTTGTTGATTTTATTAGCCTTTTACACAATTCAAATCACTGCCCTTACATGATTTTCTATTTCATTGATTCCCACTTTATCTTTATTTTATCCTCAATTTTGAACTTGGTTTAGGTCTTTTCCTCTTTTCTATGTTTCTTACAGTAGAAAAAAAAATTTTAAGATCTATTCATTTTATTGGAAAGGCAGATGTACAGAGAGGAGAGACAGAGAGGAAAATCTTCTGTCTGATGATTCACTCCCCAAGTGAGCACAATGGCCGATGCTATGCCAATCCGAAGTCAGGAGCCAGGAACCTCTTTCCGGATCTCCCACATGGGTGCAGGGTCCTAAGGCTTTGGGCCGTCCTCGACTGCTTTCCCGGGCCACAAGCAGGGAGCTGGATGGGAAATGGAGCTGCCGGGGTCAGAACTGGCGCCCATATGGGATCCCGGCGCATTCAAGGCGAGGACCTTAACCATTACACTGTCGTACCAGGCCCTCTTATGCTCCTGATAAATGGGTTTGCACAACTGTCTTTCCCCATACATCTTACTTTCCTATATTCCATAAGTTTTAGCATATTGTCTTTTTATGAACCATTTTACTATATTTTAAGTTCATTTGTGTCATGTTTGTTCACAATTTATTTGTTAAGTGTGTTGCTAAACTCCTAAGCATTTGGAGATTTTAAAATCATGATTGAATGATTTCCAGGTTAACTCCCAGAGACAAGAGTGTGTCCGTGGTACCAGTGCCTGTTACAGTAGATGGCCTGTGTGGGTAAGTGCACCAAGTGACTGAAGACAGCAGTTCTTGAGTGTGTTCTGTTTATGCCAGTTAGGTCAAGGTGAATCGTCCTCCTATAATCAATATTCTTATAGACTTCTTGTTACGCTTTTTTTTTTTAAACATTTATTTATTTATTAGAAAGTCAGATATACAGAGAGGAGGAGAGACAGTGAGAAAGATCTTCCATCCGATGATTCACTCCCCAAGTGAGCGCAAAGGCCGATGCTATACCGATCCAAACCCAGGAACCAGGAACTTCTTCCAGGTCTCCCACACGGGTGCAGGGTCCCAAGGCTTTGGGCCATCCTGGACTGCTTTCCCAGGCCACAAGCAGGGAGCTGGATGGGAAGTGGAGCTGCCGGGATTAGAACCGGCGCCCATATGGGATCCCGGGGTGTTCAAGGAGAGGACTTTAGCCACTAGGCCATGCCACCGGGCCCTTGTTATGCTTTTTTAATTGTATTTACGGAGAGAAGCCTTGTGGATTTTCTTCCAGTTCTGTTATCAGGTGCATCCAAATTTAGGCTTGTTGTTTATTCCTGTTGCTCGTTTATCTTTATGAAATGCCCTTTTTAAATTGTGTACATTTTATTTTTGATAATTTTTACATGTTTGAATAGTGTGTGAAGGGTCAAGGACTAGAGGAAAGTGGATGAGACCGTTGTTGTGACATTCTCTTTTTTCCTTCCTGTACCTGGGGGGAGGGGAAAGATACGTGGAGAAGTCACACCCAGCCTCCCAACCATCCTAGGGTCCCCAATGTGCGGTATGCTACAAGGGTCCCGCTCAACTGGTTTTGATACTTCAACAGTTCTATATTGCTGCCGATCTTGCACTCCAATCATAATGAAATCTCTCCAGAATCCACTGGCTGACATAGTCCACCTTGGAGCTCCATTTGTGCAAGTATTCACTGCCAACTCTTGCCGGGAATAGTTGATCGATTTGTTCTGGCCTCCATTATGGTGCCAGGTGTCCTCTGCAGGCTCCAGTGTACTGCCATATCCTCCATGTGCACCTGGATATGCTGTCCACTGTTCCATCGAAGCCACTGAGGAGGCTCAGCTGTGACACATTCATGGAAACTGCAATTTCCTCCATGGTTGGAGTTCTAAGTCCAGCGGTTAAGTTGGGGGAATTCACGAAGAAATTTCATCTGAGGTGATCCCAGATCTGATTCTTGTGTATGCATGCCAATACAGGATTCGGCACAGTCTGTCATGCAGATCAACCTACATGCATGCTGTTAATTGCAATTGCTGGGTCAGTTTTCTCCAGCCCTTTCCTCCATGCCCCCAGTCCCGGCCCTAGAGTGAACTGGCTGGTATTGTGGCCTGACTAGGCATGACCCACACACCGTTCTGGCTCTCAGATTTGCTAGCAGTTGATATGGACTGGCCCAGCCTTACTTGCCCCAGACCTGAGCCAATGGTAAGCCCATGGGTGCCGTAACCTGGCCTGGTCTGGACCTGACCTGGTCTGAGCTGTTCCCCTTCTTGGATCTGGCACTCACCTGGAGGGACAGGAGCACCCCAAGCTCCTCCATCAGAACCTCTCCCAATGCCAGATCTCTCACTCACTGGTGAGTCCATGGCACAGCCATACTTAGTCTACCTTCTGTCCTAGCAGGAATAATGGCCTTTCCTGACTGGTCCTCACCCATTCCAGTTCTTCTTGTTGGGTGCTACAGCCCAGCCAAGCCTGGTCCACGGCTCACACATGGCTCAGCAGGGACAGAGACCTAGCCTAGTCAATCTTATACCCATCCTTGTTCTCATGAGCTCCAATGGGTGCTGGAGTCTAGCCTAGTCTTGCACACCCAAGACCCAGTCCACACCTATGCTGAGGGAAACTACAGTCATGTCCATACCAGACCACTGCCCCAACTCTGGCCTCCACATTCATTAGTGGGACCCATAACCCAGCTAGGGTGTCCGCTTAGCTCCCCAAGCAGACCTGATCCCAACCACAGATCTCGCACATGCCTGTGGTTGCTCTGACCTGGCTTGGCATAATCCCTCCTTTGTCTTGGTCTTTGCCTTCCAATGCTGTAGTCTGGCCTGACCTGGCCTGCCCCAAGTCCCAGCTCTCACTGGCAGGTGCTGCAACCTGGCCCTGCTCAGTCTGCTCCCATCCCTGGCTCATGCAAACCAGTAGGTATGGTAGCCTATCCTGGCATGACCTATACTATCCTGGCATGACCTGTACTCCATTCTGGTTTCCTCACTTGCCAGTAGGCTATGGTTTGCTTGATCCTGCCAAGTCTGCACCCTTCCAAAACCAACTCACACATTTGCTGTCAGATGGAGCTACCCTCCCAGCCTGCCCAACACTCAGGCCTGGATCACAGCTGGAGCTCTGACCCACTAGGGGAGTTTCCCAGCTTCCCCCACTCATGCCACTCCCAGACCAGGTCTCATGCATACCAGCAGGTGCTTGGCCCTTACCCAGCATGGACTACGCCATCCATCCCAGCCTTTGTATGAGCCAGTGCGGCCTGGCCTGCCCCACACCCTGTTTTAGGGTGCTCATGCAGGTGCTACAGCCTGGACCTGTCCCACTTGTTCCCAGCCCCAGTAACAGTGAGCATCAGTGAGTTCCATAGTTATGCCTAGCTCGGCCCATCACCATCCCAACTCTCAAGCTAACCAGCGGGACTTGTAGTTCCTTAGGGTTGGGCCCACATATCCCCCACAAAATCCAACCCCAGACCTAGTTCTCTTGCATGCTGGTTGGTATCATGGCCCAGTCTAATGTGACCCATCCCCTGATCCGACACTCACTGTCAGGTACTGGGATCTAGCCCTGCCAGATAGGCCCCCAGCCATAGCTTGCGTGAGTGCTGGTGTGTTGTGGTCGGTCATGTTGCATGCTAATAAGTCCAACCCAGCACTCCCACATGGGCTGGTGCATCTGTCTGACCCATAAAAATCTTCAGGTCTCTCCCCTCCAAACCACCAGGTGTCAGTTGCCTCGCTCACCTGCAAATACAGTGGCCATAATGTTGTGTGTCCCTCAGGATTCATTCCTCACCTACACGTACAGTGGCCTGATCCATGGATGACCTACACAGTAATTCCGTATCCCCAAGACCCCAGAGCTTGCTGCTGGGTAGTCAGCAGGCAAAGCCTAGCGCCAGTTGGTGCTCTGGTCACCCACAAGCCCAGGACTCTCCCCTGGCCCGGCAGTGGTGGATGGGGAGCTGGGTTCCCCAGCAGGAAGCCTGGGCCAGCACGGGTACTCCAGACACCCATGCCACTGCTCTGAAATGTCCTTATTTATCTTGTTACAAAATCTCTCATGACACACAAAATTTTCTTTCAGTTAGTGTTTTTGTGATATATAATTTTTCCCTGTTTGCTTGTATGGGAATATCTGAAAAGGTTAATAGAAAATATAGCTAAGGAATTAATCAATTTTGATACAAAAAGATTTTGAAAGCGATGCAGTTTTTCAGTAATATTCATTTTCCATGAACTTGTTTTAAAAAGATTAATTTTGCTTCTTTGAAAGGCAGGGTTACAGAGAGACTGAGAGAGAGAGAGAGAATCTTTTCTGCACTGGTTCACTATGGCTAGAGCTGGGGCCAACCTAAAGACAGGAGCCAGGAGCTTCTTCCGGCTGTCCATGTGAGTGCAAAGACCCAAACAATTGGGTCATCCTCCACCTCTTTCCCAGGTACATTAACAAGGAGTTGGATCAGAAATGGAGTAGCCAGGACTCAAACCGGCACCCGCAGGGGATGTCAGCATTACATGTGGAAGCTTTACCCAGCATGCCACAGTGCCAGCTCCTTCCTTGAAACTTTTGAAGTGCCTTTTTATAATTAGCCCTCAATTTTTATCCATCCTCTTAACCTTTGTCTTTTAATTGAAATATTTATTTATACATAATTATTAATAGAGTTGATTTTCAGTCTATCATTGTACTTTGTCTTATACTTGATCAATACATTTTTTTCTTTTATTTTTCCTTTATTTTTTAA